TGCGGCGGGCGGCCTGGCCCGGCCCCGAGCGAGCAGCGCGGAGGGACGGGAGCGGGCGTTAGGAAGCGTTTCTGGGGGTGGCTAATAGCGTTTTATTAGTGCGGGAGCGGGTTGCGGGTCGGCTCGCGGCGCTGCGCCCCGCGCCAGGAGCCGCGGGGAAATGCGGGCCCGCTCCGCGGGGGGGAGGGGAAGAGGGGGCGGGAAGAAAGGAGCAGCCCCAGCGCCATTTCCCTGCTGCGCGGGCGGCGGCACTCACCCTTTGTGGCGCCGCGTGCGCAGCCGCTGGAGAGAGAGACGGGGGAAAGGGAATCGGGGAAGGAGAACGGAGCGGGGGAAATAAAAATCAAAGAGCCTGGAGCGCGTGGCTTTCCCGATGGGCGAAGTCCGCGGCCCGTCGCAGGCGGTGGGGCCGCGGCGAGGTCTCGGCGCCAAAATCTGGGCAGTCCCGACTTCCTCCCGCCCGGGCGGGTGGAGGGGGGAGAAGGGGCCACCTCGGCGGCGAGGGGGCGGACGGCGGCGACCGCGCCGCGCTGCTGCCCGGGCCCTGCCGCCACCGCAGGTGGCCGCGGGGCGGGGGGGGGCTGCGGGGAGGGGGACACCCGAGGCGGTCGCCTAATTATAACCCCTGGCTTTGAGGTTGAGGGTGCGGGGCGGTTCGGCAGTTTCCGGAGGAGAGGGCGGGGGGGGGGGGGGGGGGTGAAGGGAGGAGTGGAAATGGTGCCAACTGCGTTCGGGCCGTTTCGGCTCCGCTCGGGCGCATGCGAGAAGCCTCTTCCGTSGTCGGAAATTGCCGAGCGCACCGGGGAGTCGGGGACTGCGGCGCCTTTTTCTCTCCGGAAATTGCCGAGCGGGCTCGGGCGCCATTTCGGAGGGCTTCGGCAAGTTCCGGAAGCAGCCGAAGCGAGGCGAATGGGCTGCCAGTCCCATTTCGGCTTTTTCCGGCGGCTGCCGAAGTGGATAAGCTCGACGACGGCAGTGCCTTCGGCTCATTCCGTAGACGGCCATTACTAACGGAGTTGATTACTTTTTATTACGTGATTAAAGCACATAGGGGCGTTGTACAGAACTGCGGCCCCTTCGGAGATATTTAACCTGCCGATTCGAGCTTTTTTTGACCAAAACATCGGAGGCGAGCCTGGGCTGGAGAAGGAGGGCGCTAGCACTACGTGGAGCTGATTTCAAATTACGTAACAGTTCAGGCAGCCATTACTGAGCAGTTGTGCGGTATTCTCGAGCAGGGATACTTTAACCATGAAGAATATGGTACGTGAAAAGGGGAAAAAAAAAAGGCGCAGACGCTGCTTTTAGGGAGGGTGGTGTGCTTGGCTATGCAGTGGAGTGCTTTTCCAGGAGCGGYGGCTCAGGAGCAAAGCCGTCCCCGCTTAGCTTAGCTTRGCTTGGCTTGGCTGTGGCTGCTGCTGCTGAGCCCCGCTGGAGCCGGCGCGGGCGGCCGCGCGGCGCCTTCCCGGAGGAAAAGCGTTAGCGGCAGGAAGGTTCTGGAAGCTGCGGCTGGTGCGCCGCGCAGCGAGGAGCGGAAGCCGCCAATGCGGCTGCGGTGGATTCCTCAAGAGCCTCCTGGCGCAGGCTCGGGCCGAGCCGCCGCTAAGGCGGCGCAGCGGGGTGAGAGCGGGGGCGCGCGCCCTTACCGAGGTCGGTTAGTGGGCGAGCCGGGATTCTCCTTGGCCTCCTGCGAGGCGCCGGCCGGCCGCGGTGGCGCTGCCGCTAATGGCGGTAGCGAGGGGGAGGGGTAAAATGGCGGCGCCGGGACTCGCTCCCGCGCGAGGCGCTCGGGGTCGGAGCTAGGACGGGCAGGGGGCGGCCGGGAGGGCACATGGGGCTGCCGGGCCCTAAGGGAGCGGGAGGCATCGCTCGCAAGCCCTGCCCGCGAGCGCGTGTGGGTGCACGCAGGAAGCGGTTTGCAGCGGCTCATTTCCGTTTATCCGTAGGGCCCGCATGTTTGTTTATTTTATTTTTAAAATTTGGGCTCGGTTCTTTACGAACTTCCTTCCTTCCCGCCGTGTCGGCCTCCCTGGCAGCGGCCGCTCCTGGGCGCCATTTTGCTCGCTGGCCGCGCGGCGGGGGCCGCTGTTGTCCTGGTCTCCGCCACATGGCGGAGCCGCGCTGGCAGCCGCGGCGCGCCCGCTCCCGCCGCGCCGCGGGGGAAGGGCGGCAAGCGCGGGCCGCGTAGGGGGCGTTAGGGGCCAGCGGGGCCGTGCCGGGTGGGGCGAACAATAACGGCTACTTTTTTTTTTTCTTTTTTTTTTTCGCCAGTAAACCAGTTCCATTTTTGGCGGGCAGTGCCAGCTCAGAGATCCCACTCAGTTAGCTCCTTTAAATCTCCTTTAACCTTCATTTTTGTTAGGGCAGTTCTTAACWCGGCAGAAGTCTACAGTCTGCTTGGAGTATTTGTGCATAAATTATTACAACTTAAAACGGATTTCCTTGGTCCGRTAGATTTTTCAGTATAGGCTTTATGTTTTCCAGTCCTTTGTGAAGTGTTGCCTTTAGCCTATGAAGGCAGGTTTAAATTATTTTAAACCTTAAGATTTATAGATTTAAAACAAACTTTTATCTTGCAGTTTGTTTCTGCAGTAGAATGTGTTCTGGAAACCTTCAAAGCTTTGATTTATTTATTTTACTTTTTGTTGCTGCCTCTTATACGGGCTCAAGATTCATGTGTTCTACAGTTTCAACATGTAAGGGCTGTTACAGATTTTCAGAGCTGTCTGGATCTTTGTCACAGGTTAATTCTAGACAGGAATTTYAGCCTCTTAAAAGTGAAATAACCTTTAATGAAAATAGGCTATGTTCAAAGGCTCTGCCTGGATTAATGGAGCAACACGTTTATGATGTTTTCACACATTGGTTTTGATTCAAGAAGTGATAACTTTTTTTTCATTGCCATGTCCTGCTTTGAGTAGGGCATGTACTGTATGACAGCTAGTATGCAGGAGATGAAACGCATGAGAATTCTTAAGAGCTCAAGAATATCTTGTTTGTTTTATGATTTTTAATAAGGAAGGATACATATCTTCATCTTTCAGTAATTAAGCCTGGCTCTTAGAGCTCATGGTATCCTGGAATGGCTTAAATTTAAGTAAAATTTCAATTACTATTTCCATAAGTAAATGTAAAACTTAGGAGGAAGATTAGTATGCCTACTAAATTTTCATGTGATACTGATATTTCTAACCTAGCTGCATTATTAGAGACGTGGTGATGGATTATGCAGGGAAATGTGTGTGTGTGGTCTGTGAAACTGAAGCTAGTAGTTTCTTATTTCCTAGCAGAAGAGCAGAAATAGTGTGGACAGATGTGGGGTTTTTTTTGTTTGTTCGTTTTTTTTTTGCCCACATCTTAAAATTATTTCTCATCTAGTTACTTTCATCCTAAATGATGAGTTGCCACATGTGACGGAGTAATCCACGTTGATGCACCACTCTTCATTTAAGAGATTATGAAAGAAAATATAAGTTTACCCTTTTTAAACTCTTTTGTGTGAAGTTTCACCCACCTGCACAAGGAAAAAAAAACTCCTTTGTGCTTTTAAGAGATGCYAGATCCAACAACAGATTCCATATATTTTTTCCTAAGTGACAGTGAAGTTGATGGTAAAYACTTCTTTTTTGTGTGGGAGAGACAAAAAGTTGTAGGACCAATTGTGGACCTGTTTTTCTTACAGACAGCAACGATAGGATGATGCAGTTCTATACTGCTGCTAATAATTTTATGTSTTGTTACGTGGTTCTAGATGATGTCTCATTGGACAACCCTAGAAAGTGTATGTTGGAATCTACCATTATTGCCTTAACGCTTTTCTAAATTGCATTATTCTCCATTTTTGTGTATAGATCAAATTCCTTTTTTTTTTCCCATTTGTCTGCTGTACAGTGGATAAGCAGTTATACTGTATTTGCTAGTTATAGCTAATGGTGCAGTGGATGAAAAAAGAAACCCAAGTGGCAAGCAGGTGTTCACGCTTTTAAAATGAGTTATTATAATGCTGAAGTAGTCAGTATTTGAGCTGTATTTGGCCTTACAGGACAGTTGAGCAGGATTATGAAGTCCTTCAAAGATTGTGAAATTTCTTGTTTTTTTAATGTCCTGGGTAAATAGTATTGTTGCATTCATGGACAACAAATTGATCTAGAATGTTTTTTTAAAATACATGCTAATTGAAATAGAATCAGACGGTATGAATGGATTCCTGTTACCTGTTATGAGAACATTTTGTTCTCATAGTTTATAGCATTGTGGGGTTTTTTGGTGCAGCTTTAAAAAGCTTATAAAGAGCTTTGGTAATTTTTTCTGAGGGCATTTAAATGTGATTGAGTCTTAGTATTTGTAGGAGGAGGTGGGAAAAGCACATTTTGAAATCTGTATCATAGAATTGCTAACATTGCTTAACTTCTCAAAGTCGAACAATGAGCCTRATCATTTTAGGCTCATCATTATAGGAAAGAGTCTAACTCCATTTTGAAAAATAATTCCCACTGAAAGATTTTGACCAAGAAAATGTTACCTAGTTTCTGATAATGCAGTGGGGAGATGCTGTAAAATGTACTAATGCAAACCTCTTTTCTGTGATAGAGGGAAAAGGAGCAGTTCCGCAAACTGTTCATTGGTGGTTTAAGCTTTGAAACAACAGAAGAAAGCTTGAGAAACTACTACGAACAATGGGGAAAGCTTACAGATTGCGTGGTAAGTTGGGCATGCTGATTTGTAAAGAAGATGTAAAATGATTAGTTTCCTGAACAGTATGCGGGGGGGCGATGAGGGGACGAGGAGGAGGAATGTCAAATTTCCTTCAGTTTACAGGCTTTTTTAACATCAAGTTCATAAAAGCCCTGGGCRTGCTTTGCCTTCCAAACTCTGCTGATGGAGTTAGAAATGCAGTCTGTTTCCTGTATAAATCCCTTAGACTGTGTTCGACTGCCTATTTTGGCAGTTCAAAAGTAACTTTGATGCCTTTGCCTGGAGGTGAATGGGGAGGTGATTGTACAGACTGCTCTTCGTCTGCTGTGTATGATTGGTGACCTTTGGTCAAAAGAGAATACTGGGGTAAGCAGCCTCAGTGAGGGTGGAAGTGCATATTCTTTTTACAACTTGTGATGCCTTGCATCTCTGCTACCTCTTTTGCAAAAGTTGCTCAGTGAATTTAACCTGGAAATGGTAAATGCATATTTCATAACTATACTTAAAAGTGGTGAAGTTTTGAAATTGAGGAAAATGTAAATGAAGTTTTACATATTTTCTTTGAGTATTGTTGTATTAGACTTAAAGTGATACGTGTAGAAATGGTTTAAATACATTTGCTTTTTCTAGGTAATGAGGGATCCTGCAAGCAAAAGATCAAGGGGTTTTGGGTTTGTGACATTCTCCTCCATGGCTGAAGTTGATGCAGCAATGGCTGCAAGGCCTCACACAATTGATGGAAGGGTGGTTGAGCCGAAGCGAGCTGTGGCTAGAGAGGTAGGTTCAGCTTTGGAACTGCTGAGAAGAAACTGCTCTGTTTTAAGGGATCTCTGTTTTGGTCACACGAACTCTATAAAAGGTCTGCTGTGGAAGGAGAATCATTACTGTTACTAGACCTCAAAGTAGTAAACTCCTGCTAATCCCATCTGAGGTCTGTTCAAGGTCTTTTGGGTATTTATAAAGTGTGTAGAGTGGTGACATACAAAGTTTGCATGGGATTGTTCATTTGCAGGCATACTTGATTTTTTTGATTTCCAGAATACAGATAGCGTGGTTCCGCAAAGAAGCAGTTCACCCTGCAGTAAACTTTCCAGCTGGGTTACTGAGGGGCGAAAGCAGATTTGAGCAGATCTCAGTTTGCCACATCAGTGGATCTCTGTGAGAGTTTACGGGTTACATAAGGTTAGACCCAGGTTTCTAATGTGTTTTCAGTACGATTCACTGCGTTCCAATTCAGTYGGAATGTAATGTGTTCTCCCATAAGATGAAAAGAGAAAGTGAGTCATTGAATGTTCGTATATTGAATAGAGATGAAAATATGTGTTTGTGGGTTCACTGTGGTTGAAGGAATTTTACTGTTGCTGCGAGTGCAATGTGGATTTCACAGCTCTTGGGGAAATGGAGGAAGGTGACATGTTTAGGTATCAATTAGAAAGATCATGCTTACTTGATGGTACTAAATAAGTTGGAGTTCTTTCCAAGCAGTTGATGGTACTTTTTTATCTAAATCTGTTGAAGGAACTTCAGTTTAAGTGTTTCACATCATTTAAGTACTTTCTTCAGTATATTTAAAACATTACATGAAGGGGAGGTGGGTCCCCTCCTGTCCTCTTCACACTCAGAAGAGATGTTTCCAGGATATGCATCATCAGCYAGTAGTCTTGGGAAAATGCTTATTTATGAAATCGTTTATTTTCATAGTTACTAGGGGATATTTTTTTTAACAGGAATCTGGAAAACCTGGTGCTCATGTTACTGTGAAGAAGTTATTTGTTGGTGGTATTAAAGAGGATACTGAAGAGCACCACCTTCGTGACTACTTTGAGGAATATGGGAAAATTGATACTATTGAAATCATTACTGACAGACAGTCCGGTAAAAAGAGAGGGTTTGGCTTTGTTACATTTGATGACCATGATCCTGTGGATAAAATCGTATGTAAGTAGGCTTTGCTTCACTGTCACTTGATAGTATTAATATTTATTGTTGTGGTAGTTGTTTAAGATTAATTCAGACTGCTCTTTTGCATGAGTATTTGCAACATCACAGTATTAGCAAATTGTGTGGGAGCATATGCTACTATTTAAATGACTGCTGTTTTTCCCTAAGTAGTCTTTTTTCATTATTATTATTAAATAATATTAAAAGTTTGGATTAATTTGGAAGTTACTGTATTTTTGAAGCTTAATACTGTTGGTTGTTCCCAGATGATAATTAAATGGTTATTCTCTTCTCTGGTTACAGTGCAGAAGTACCACACCATCAATGGCCATAACGCAGAAGTACGGAAAGCCCTCTCCAGGCAGGAAATGCAGGAAGTTCAGAATTCTAGGAGTGGGAGAGGAGGTATGTGCAAGTGCTGATTAAGGCTTTGTGTGTCTCTGGGTTTGGCTTGGTTAGTTCGCCATCAACTTGAAATTTGAAATGGTTGTAGGGAACTTCGGCTTCGGTGATGCGCGTGGAGGTGGTGGCAACTTCGGTCCYGGACCCGGCAGCAATTTCAGAGGGGGAGCCGGTAAGACAGGCATGTTTGTAACTTTTTTTTTTCTTATTTATATCACTTTTGATTTGAGGTAACTTGAATTTAAACAGCAGTAGCTTATAAATGTGGTAGTTGGAGGGTTTTGTTTTGTGTTTTTTAAGAAAAAGTACATAGCAAATCCCTTAGTATACAGATTTAAGATGTGGACACTTAGCAAACTTTTTTTTTTCAGGATTATATTAATAACTAAGGTCAGAAATTTGCTAAAGAGTTTGGAGATTTCTCTCCTGCAGCTATATGGAGTTCTCAGGAGCTTTTAAAATGGGAGGAGCTCTTGGCTGCTTACATTACATGTAAGCTAAGAAGTGAAATTCTGAATGTCACTTAAGGCTTCCTGAGTCCAGAATTAAAACTTGCTGATTCATGAAGGCAAGGAAGTATAAAATCTAGAGTAATGATAATATTTTTTTTCTCTCTAAATGTGTGAGTTTATGACTTAATCAGCAGTCTCTCAACTCAGGATGGTAGGGGCTGCAGAAAAATCTTTCAGTTAGTTTGCTGCTGGTGAATTGAGTTTGCTTATTTCTTCCAACAGACGGATATGGAAGTGGCCGTGGATTTGGTGACGGGTATAATGGATATGGTGGAGGACCTGGAGGTTAGTTTACTTCTGTGCTTGTGGGTTTTGTTGTTGTTGCTGTTTTTTATCTTCTTGATCAGGAAGGCTTTTACATTTACTTACGAGTTATATAAAAAACATTTAAGTGGTAAAGCCTTTTTGTTTCATATAGGAAAAATGATGCAGTTGACTTATGTTAAAACTTTCTATGGGAAACTGTATCATTGTATCCTGGATGGCCACCCTCTTCTCTAGAACGGAATTTCTTAACATTCCCTCGGAAAAAAAGAGGTTTTAGTTTGTCTCTTCACTGCTGTGTTTAGACGCCTGGTTAGTAGATTTTGGTAACAGTTCATTTGGAATGGAGGTTGGGGTTGTGCCTTCAAAAATTCTGTAGAAATTTCTTTATGAAACTCTGGCTCTTTTACTTTCCTTTGTATACTTCTAAGGAGAGGTTTCTCTGTTGAATTTAGTTGCTTTCTACCTTGAAAAGTTTATTTCAAAGGAATGTTTTATAACAGGTGGCAACTTCGGAGGTAGTCCCGGTTATGGAGGAGGAAGAGGAGGATATGGTGGAGGAGGACCTGGCTATGGCAACCAGGGTGGGGGCTATGGAGGTGGTTATGACAACTATGGAGGAGGTAACCTACTGGCTTGAAATATTCACGTATTTTAATTGTAAATCAGTGTAAATCTGYGCAAGTCATTTGAGAATGTTCTGTTTTGGGGGAGGGAGTGGGGGTTGTCTGAGCGCTGCTTTTGCTTTCCACAGTGTGGAAAAGCAGCTTATTTCTTAGGCTGCTTGAATAGCTACACGTTCTGCCTTTATTTAAATTTCCGGTAGTGAGGTAACTTTGTGAGTGCTCTCTTGTGGTTCTTAGTTCATCCACGCATTTACCCTTTGTATATTGATAATGCAGGCAATTATGGAAGTGGAAACTACAACGACTTTGGAAACTACAATCAACAACCCTCAAATTATGGTCCAATGAAGAGTGGAAATTTTGGTGGCAGCAGGAACATGGGGGGACCATATGGTGGAGGTATTGTATACATCTGAGCTGTCCTGGAACCAAGCAGTGGATGAACTGCTGTCATTCCCTGCCGCGGCGTGGGTGGGAGGAAAGGCTGGGAGGTGAGAGAACCTCTCSCACAGCAGACAGGCTAGTAATGCCCTTGCTCTCTCTGTAAAGCTTTCCTGGGCACCCTTCCCCTGCCCCCAGGTTCTTGTTGTCTGCTTTTGGTTCACCTTGTTTGTAGACGGGTGAAAGAGGGAAATGTAGCTAAGGCCCACTGAATTAGTGTTTTTTTTTTTTCCCCCCCCTTCGTGTTTTGTTTCCCCAAAAAATGCACTGATGTAACCACTTGGTTTCTTACTGTTCTGCAATTGCAGGAAACTATGGTCCAGGGGGCAGTGGAGGAAGTGGTGGTTATGGAGGGAGGAGCCGTTACTGAGTTTCTGCAAGCCTGCCATGGGTAAGTATGTTTTTAAGTCCTAATATTGCAGTGATTCTTGAGAGTAGCTGCAGGAGTTAAAAGCTTTTTAGGATCATATTATCTTTCCTTTAAAAAATGGTTAGATGAATAATTTCATAACCTATTTTTTTACTCTTTACTTCTGTTGAAACAGGCTTCACTGTATAAATAGGAGAGGATGAGAGCCCAGAGGTAACAGAACAGCTTCAGGTTATCGAAATAACAATGTTAAGGAAACACTTATCTCAGTCATGCATAAATATGCAGTGATATGGCAGAAGACACCAGAGCAGATGCAGAGAGCCATTTTGTGAATGGATTTGGATTATTTAATAACATTACCTTACTGTGGAGGAAGGATTGTAAAAATGCCTTTGAGACAGTTTCTTAGCTTTTTAATTGTTGTTTCTTTCTAGTGGTCTTTGTAAGTGTAGAAGCATTCCTTTGATAATGTTAAATTTGTAAGTTTCAGGTGACATGTGAAACCTTTTTTAAGATTTTTCTCAAAGTTTTGAAAAGCTATTAGCCAGGATCATGGTGTAATAAGACATAACGTTTTCCTTTTAAAATTTAAGTGCGTGTGTAGAGTTAAGAAGCTGTTGTACATTTATGATTTAATAAAATAATTCTAAAGGAAATATTGTGTAATTATAGATTTTTTTTTTAATATTGTAAAATAAGGCAAGGAGTGGGTAGTATAAGGTCCCACAAATAATATAAAGCTATTGTTGTACATGTTAAATTAAATGCTGGTCAGAAAAAAAGTATGTTGTCTGTAAATGATCAGGTTTAAAGTATCTAGATAACTTAAGGGTTATCTCTGCAAGGAGAAACACCTTTTTAGATCTTTTAGATGCTGCTTCTTCCATGGCAAGGAAAGGAAATATCCCCAGCGAGGTACTCTTCCAGGGACACAGGTCTAGTACGAGAGAACTCTTGAGAACGTCACTAAGTTCAGCCAGTCTTAAAAAGCTGCGCTGTATTTCTGCAAAGCTTTAACTACGGTAGTTGTATAAGGATGTCAACGAAGGCTATGGGGTGTAGAGCAAAGTAGTTCTAAGCTTCAGTTAAACTTCTTTAGGTAAGATCTTATTTACTTTTCCTTTCTTAATTGTTCCAAAATTGAGCAACTAATACTATACTATATGAAAAGTATTTTTTTGAGTATAGTGATTATTGTATGTAGTTTAACATAGCAACGAATTAACAATTACCAACTGAAAAGAACTTTGTGAATCTGTTTTCTTGTATTTATTAAACTTTTTACAAACAAATTCTTATTAATTTCAGCTACTTAACATATTTCTTTCCTACTGGAATCTAGCTATGATATGAATCCTGGACAAGCATAGACTGCTGCCACTGTATACTGCTACAGTTGAACAAATGAGACCTGCAAGTGTCCATTAGTAAAGCTTTGCAAGGGTTCCATCCCTGGTGTTGGTAGTTAAAATGGTAGGTCACAAGTTAATTAAATCATACGACTTTACTTTTGCATCCTGCAACATTTTATTTTTTCTTGGGAGTCTGTGCATTATGGTGGTTGCAAGGTAATGCAGTGAAGGTAGTTCTGTGCTGTTGAAAATGAACAATGTTGCTGTGTATCTTGTCTGCAGTAACCTACTGTATATAACACGTTTCATCCTGAAGGTTCCCAAGTAACTTTAGACCTTTTTCATATAAGGAAAAAAATTGCACCACTGAATACATCTGCCTCTGTGAAGGAATGTGTCGGCTATTCTTTAACAACTGCATAAGCAGTTCTTTAGGAGGGAAAGTGAATGCTTCAAATGAAACTGCAGGTGGTATTTTTATGAGTGTGTAATGTAATTACTGAAATTGGAATTTGGCTAGAATGATGAGGTTTCCACCATTTTTTATAGTTCTTGCAGCTAATAAACCTTAGTGCCAAATTTAATCAGCCTTACTCTCATTGCACTGAATGTGTATTTCTCCAAGAAATTTCACTAAGTAATGAGTTACTCGGAGTAAGGATGGCATAATATGCTCATTTTTTATTAAAAATCAGCAAAACTCACAAAACAATTTCCAAGTTCTGTTGCCTTTGAAAGGCTACACACTAGAGAACGTGGACTCAAATAATGGAAGTCCTGTTCCGTTTGTGCCAGACACACCAGTGAACTGCTTATACTTTTTTTTTTTTTTAAATGGCTGAAGTTCCCCTATTGGTAATTTGGTTTAGACATATGTGATAAACATCTTCAGATACACTTTTTTTTTCTTTGGCAGGAAGGTGCCATGCTGCAGGTAACTAATGAAGAAGTGGTCAACCACAGAAACGCTTCAAGAAATAAGAAATTCTGTTTCATCAGAAAATAGTTGTTTTTGCTGGCTTCATTAAAAATCTAGAGGTTAAATGAATTCTGATAAAACATCTCAATTAGTACAGCTCCCTGTAACGCTGTTCATTTTTTTTTTAAATTAATAATTGTCTTGTAAACCTTTCGAATAAAATTCAGATTGGTTAGGTGAAACAAATCACTAATGTTAAAATAGCAGACACTGAGTAGAAGGTGTAACTACATATTTTTATAACTTTCATAGCTTTAAAATAAAGTATTTTTATACCAAAGTAGTTCTAGTGTAATGCTTAATAAAACCTAGTCTGTGTCTAACATTTAAAGTAACGTTGATGTGCAGCTTCTAGACACTTTCATGATCTGAAACATTTTGTTTTTGAGGTGGATTTAAAATCCCGTTAACTTCACTAAGTGTATTCACAGAGCTTGTATCTCAAACATAGGCATCTGTTCCCTTTCAGGAGAAACAGTGCTACAAATTAAAAGACTGATTTTGCTGTTGGACACAACTGCTTTAAAATAGCTTTTGGCTATGTTTTATATCACCGTTTTAAAATTAGTACCTCCTTTCCTGTTAATGAAATGAAGCACTTGAGAAAAGTCATCAAAATGTGTTAGGACAACAGCCTTATCCTTCCTGCCAGTAAAGAGCTTTTAGAACTGAGAGGGAAAGGTGGAATGCAAGGGGAAGTCCCAGCTGTACCAGCACTGTTTTAATAGCTGTGTCTTCTGGGGGAGGAAAAAAAAAAAAAAAAAAAGCATGATCTTGGAATAGCTTCAGCTGGGAGTGTATTTGGGAGAAAGGTGTATTCAGTCTTTGTGCTGTTTTAACCTGCTACATATACAGCTTATTCGAAACTCCGAATTTCTGTGCTTAGCTGTGATAGAATGATAATGTCTTTAACTTCAGATAATTCAGAACCATGTAAGAATGTTGTGTATGGTTATCTTGTGTATTTTTAAGTTGAATCACATGGGTGACAACAGGGCTGCAGTGGAAGCGGGAAAGGAAGACAAAACCTGCTTTACTTCTTTCTCCAACAAAACTAATTTACTGGTTGTACAGGAACTTGCCTTCTTTCCTGGATTCAGTTTAGTTAGTGGAATTTTTGCTTTACAGTTGCCAAGTCTACATCTACATCACCTAATTCAAATGAAAAAAACACTTTTTCTGAGATCGTAGTTTTACAATAAGGTCCCAGATTTCTTTGAATGAGATGTGTTATGGTTTTCATAATGAAGGTATTTTAATATCTGTCTACTGTGTGTGGGTAAGAGTCGATAAGGGACAGTGACATGTGAAAACCAAGTTACTGGAGGTTCAAAGTCTTCAAAGCTTGGGACTGTTGATTTCCCACACAGTTGCGTTTCTGCACGTTGTTGCCCCTTCCCCCCACGCCCCCTTCCCCAGTATATCTTTAGAAGTTAAGCAAGTGATGATCTGGACTTAGTGATGAATTCAGAGCGAAATCATTGTTTTAAGTCAACCTAACACCAAAAGCTCGCACTCTTGAATAAAAATGTGCGGTTGGTTATTGTTTCCTAGTCTTAACTTTTTTTTTCCAAGTTGATGTTACATCCCTTTTCAGACTTTTGTTTTGCAAACAGCAGCGTTGCTGGTAAGTGCATTAGCCGTGATGTTTAAAAATGCCACTAGCTCCATCCTCCCCAGCAGTGAGTAAGCATGGTGCATAGTTTGCACTGTAATGCACTAGGCAGGCCTGAAGTGTATGAAGAATGCCAAGGAGGTGGTTGCCAACGCTTGCCAGCTTGCCTGGCTACCACATGCTGGGAACTTGGACRAAGGTGGTGAATGACAACATAGCTTGTTGGTAAACAGTGTGGGGAAGAAAACACACTACAGCACAACTACCATGCATGACAAGTATGGGGAAATTGTATTTATTATGTCCATGAAGAGAGAATAATGCTGTTCTTCGGGCCACGCGGTGGAACTTGCTCTTCAAATTTACTCTAAGGTGTTGAAAAGTAAGTAAATGTGTACAATTGTGGAACTAATGCCTGAACTTTTTTCATAATTAGGTAGTTTACTTGGGTAATTTCAGGTTCATGGTGTGTGTATATATTCTGGGYATGCAGTCAAAAACTGAAGAAATTCTTTTTATTCTCTTGACGGTTTAGCAACTTGAGGACACCTGGGAAGGGGGATGGGCTGTTGAGCCCACACGGAAGCACAACTTTGCTTCTAGGTCCAGGTTTGTGGTTGGCCTTCTAAAGCAGAACGAGTAACACAAGGGTCATTCCGTCACATTCTGTGATTTAGAGGAGTGCCACCAGCCTACTCCTGTTTTCACACTGATAACGTTAGGAATACATGGGAACATAACCCTGGAAGGGGGTTCTTGGGCAACACYAATCCTTTTGGCCTGGAGTGACATAAGGGCCCCTTCACTGGTTGTCACCTTGCCTTGCAGGTATTAGTGTTCACTCACATCGCAGCCAAAATTTGGGATCATCAGAACTGGGGTTAACAGAAGCAAGAGGCGGTTCATTTAGCAGCAGTAAAAGTTAACCCATGCTCCACTGTAAGTAGCCATCTGGCTTCGACAGGTTGCCAAGGTCTTCACAGAGCAAGGTTGGGGACTGAAGGTTACAAAGTAGCTGCTTCAACTTCCCAGACTTGCGTTGTATGAACAAAGTAACATTGAGAGTTTCTTCTAAGAAAGGTTCYGTGTTCCACCTCAGCAGTTGCTCCACTGGCTACCTCACTGATTTTTTGGCGTGTGAAACGTCTGTGGCTGACAAGTTTCAAGGATTTCCCTGTGTCCTCTTGCTACTTAATTGAATAAATAGTTTCTCAGTAGAACTTGGAGCTTTTAAGCTTCTATAGCCTCGTCTACTGGCTTCTTCCCTCTCACGCTGTCGGGGTCCTTGACAGAACCTAATTTCTAATTTCCCCAAGACAAATGTGCTGGGTTGCATTCCAGGGGCAGCAGCTGAGCTGTCAAGACTCTTCGCAAAAAGATACTAGCAAAGTTTCTTCTTTTTTTTTYYTTTTTTTTGGTCTCTTTGAAGTTCATTATTGATGTTTACCTCATCAGAAAATAAGATCTTGTGCAAAAACATTATAAGCTGTTAGTTTCTGTAAAAAAGATCTTGCATAACACCGAAATGTTACATTAAAACTGCACTTAAACGCCATAGTATTGGTCCTTATTGAAACTTGTGCATTGTGTCAAAGCAGCACGCTGTGTCTCTGTGATGGTTTATTTATAATATTGTACGTAGYATTTAGTCTTACATTTTATGAACAGTGCTTAGTGTGTTCCGCTCTAATAAAGTATTAGATGCGTTGGTTTCTAGTGCATGCTTACCACTAAAAGGTATACATCTAAGAAAACAAGCACTTTCACAGCTGTTGTGCAGTGCCTCTTCCTCTTTCTGTAAGCAGTAATTGGAAAAAATACCTGTATTTTGTGTTTCCCACCCCCTTTTATCCTCTATGTTTAGTTCAGTTTCTGACTGTTTTATCTGTGCTTGTATAGTGGGATGGTTTATGATATGACAAAAATGGAGGGTGCTATTTGAATTTTAAGGACTGCTGCTTTGTTTTTCCAGTGTAGACTGTGGAGGATTTTTTTTTTTTTTTCCTGAGAATTATTTCAGTTAAAGTTTTTGTTTAACAGTGCTGATTTTGCTTGAGTGTCTCCTGCTGTGCAGTATCACCTTTTAGCGTATAGGCTGAAAAGAAGACTATTTTAGTGGAAGTGTACAGTAAGTATTTGCCTTTGGAAGAAAGTTCAGTATAAATAAACCTGCTGTTTTTGTACCTGCCTACCCTAACTTTCACAAATAATTTAAGGAGATGAAAAAATAGCAAGAAACCAAGACCAGGCAAGAGATTTTTTTTTTTTTTTTTTTTTTTTTTTAAGGTTATTCCCAGACGGGGAAGGTACTTCATCTAAGTTAGGCAAAACTTATAGCAATCTGCTAAAATTTAAACAAATAGAAAACTGTTCTGAATTCTACATATGTCATCTTGCTTTTCTTCGTGAGTGGGAAGGGACCTTCTGAGTTAATGGTCAGAAGGGCTGTGTGGTCAGCTGCAACCTYGTCTCTTCCCAAATACATTAATTTACCTGAAATATTTTTGCAGGAGTAATATTGCTAATTGATGCATCAGAAATAAACASAAAAGTTCTTGGAAGAAGAAATACAGTTGTTGAATAATAAAAAATGGAATTGGCTGAGGGATCTCCCTGTTCTTTTTTCTTCCATTACAAGCAAGTGCTCTTTGAAAGTTGAAGTAGGCTCTCCTATTTTCATCATGAAAAATCTAATCAGGTAACCTTCTCCCAGTGCAACATGTGCTTTATTTTCTCACTTGACACATCAGCTTTGCTCCTTATAAATGATGTACTTGGGGCACTGGCTATTTCTTTTTTTCTTTTTCTTTCACTACAGGATCATAGAGTTTTGTTTTACAAGGCCCTAAAGCTTTGAGACTCAGAATTACCACTGTCCTAAACAGCTACAGAGGTGTGTAGGGGTTTTTTCTTTCTTTCTTTTTTTTTTTTTTTTTCTTGGTCATTCGTTGAGAAAATTGAAATCTTAACTGATCTTATTTCTTTTCTTTCTGGTTATACTGTTTACATTCTGATTTGACCGTGTGTCTGGGCATTAGGAAAATGCTTCCGTCACTCCTGCAATGGATGATGTATTGGCTTGTGTTAACAGGTCTTCCCTGTCATCCCTTCACTGAAAATGTCAAAATAGAATCATTTAACTTTTTTTTTTCATCAGGCTAACTTATCTGCTACACTAAGTGTGTTTCCTAAGGCTCTCCTTTTCTGTTTGACATCCTTTCTTCCAAGAATCACATCCTGCTTGTGTTTGTGTCAATTTTGGGCAGCAATTTTATTATTTTCCCCTGTATCTTATATTGCAAATAATTGGAATAAGTGATACCTGAGTGTCTACAGGCCTTCCTTCCTTCCATCCATCCTTCCATCAACTTGCATGCTCACAATTTAGTTGCATGAAGGTGAAATTTTCAGAGTGTTTGCTCAGTGTTCATCACCACTAGGCCAGTAGAGTTACGTCACCTATCTTTGGTTTCTGTGTGCACTGGTGAGGCTCTGGAATGGGCAGTGAGTGGCTGCAAGTGTGTTTATGAAGCAGCTGCTGAAGTGTTGCGTCTCTGGAGTGCTCTGAATCACCTTGGTATTCCACAGGGCCAGATTTAGTGT